GCCGACTGCCGACTGCCGACTGCCGATCAATACCGATCCATCACCCGCCACACCGACACCGTCCCGCTCAGCTCGCACGCCACCACGAGCAGCGGTTCGTCCAGCGCGTTGCGATCCGGCGGGATGAACGCCAGTCCCTCCGGCGAGAGGTGCCCCAGCTTCGCGAGCATCGTGACGCCCACCACCTCCGGCTCCGCCGGGGTCGATACGTCCACGATCGCCACCGCGCCGGGCCGCTCCAGGCCGACGAACGCGACGCGCCGCCCGCCCAGCTCGCCGAGCGTCACGCCCTCGGGCTCGCAGCCGCGGTCGTCGGAGCGCTTGTCGGCGACGAGCGGCTCGTCGGTCGAGCCCGCGTTGAAGAGCGAGGGCCAGTTCTCCAGGATGATCCGCCCGAAGCGCGACCCCGTCCCCCCGACGCGCTCCATCGTGCGCGCGTCGTACACGCCGATGCCACGCGTCCCCTGCGCGTACGGCTCGTCGATGAGCCCGTCGCCGTCCGTGTCACCCGTGATGGCGCACACGCGCAGCCGCGCGATCCCGTTCGGCGCCTGGCGGACGTCCGTCGCCACCGGCCCGCTCAGCCGCCCGTCGCGGTCGAGCACCGAGAGCCGAGCGTGGTCCGGCATCGGCTCGCCCTCGCCGAACTCGCCCCGGTTGTCCCCCTCGTCCGCCGTCACGAGGTACACCCGCCCCCCCGCCTCGAACGCCTTGACCTGGTCCGGCATCGGCAGGCCCTTGATCGTCGCCGTGAGGTTGGGACCGTCCTTGTCCGAGACGTCCGCGAGGAACTCGACCGCGCCGAGCGCCTCGAGCCGCTCCAGCGTCGCCGCCTCGAGGTCGATCACCGCGACCGCGTTGTTCTCCTGGATCGAGACGTACGCCGTCTCGTTCGTCATCGCGACGGACTCCGGCTCGATATCGATCCCCGGCGTGAACCGCTGCGACGGCGAGAGCCGCAGGTGGCGCGCCGGGTCGAACGCGAAGCCCTCACGCTCCACCGCCGCCATCGCGTCGCCCGCGAAGTGCACCGTCCGCAGGTCCGCTTCTTCGAGCGTCTCGAAGTGGTACTCGTTCTTCACGCTCGCCAGGCGCACGATCGTCACGCTCGGCGGCGGGTCGTCGATCGCGCCGTCCGTGCGCGCCACCCACTCGCCCTCGTTCGCCACCACCAGGAACCGCCCGTCCGGCGAGAACTCGCACGCGTCCGGCCCGTACCCGACCACGAAGCTCCCGATCACCGCCCGGCGCTCGAGCGACACGAACGCGAGCCGCCCCGGCACCGTCCCCTTGTTCGACGGAAGCACCGTCACCGCCGCGACGCCGCGACCCATCGGGTCGACGCTCACGTGGCTGAGCCCCGACGACGCACCCGTGAGCCCGACCGCCGTCGCGACGTCCAGCACCTCGATCACCCGCGCACCGTCCGGGTCGGAGAGGTCGACGAACGCCAGCCCCTCGTCGCACGTCGCGAGCAGCAGGGCGGTCCCCGCGTCGTGCGACACGATCTCGGACAGCGCCAGATCGACCGACGAACGCAACTCCAGCGCGTACCGCCCCCACACCGCGGAATCGTCGACACGATCGCGCGCCGGCGCCGGCGCCGGTTCGACGATCGACGCCGCGGCCGGTTCGGTCACGGGCTCAGATGGCTCTCGAATCTCGACCGGTTCGACATCCGCAGCGCCGGGGGACGGCGCCGTCTCCTGGTCAGTGGGCGCGGGCGCCGGGCGCGGCACGGGCTCGGGCGACGGCGACGGCGATGGCAAAGGCCGGCCGCGCTCGGGCATTGACAGCCCAAGGGCGACCACTCCGGCGATCACAATCCCACCAAGTACGCGGCTCACACTCGTCCCTTTCACGCGTCGTGCGGACGACAAGCGTACCGTCCGCGAGCCGGTCCACGCGAGCCGAATGTTAGGACCGTGTGTGCGAGGCCTTCCGGGCGGCGACGACCTCCGCGAAGAGCCGGTACACGAGCTTGGCCGCGACGAACTCGCTCGCGTGGTCGTGCGGGCGCGGGCACAGCTCGACGATGTCGAACCCGACGATCTCCCGCTCCCGCGCCACCAGACGCAGGAGCCGGTTCACCGCGTCCCAGCTCAGCCCGCCCGGCTCGGGCGTGCCCGTCGCGGGCAGCAGCGACGGGTCGAGCCCGTCCAGGTCGATGGTCACGTACACCTTCTCGGGCAGTTGCTTGAGCACGCGGCCCATCCACGCGTCGTCGCGCTGGGCGTTGATGTCGTGCGCATAAAAGATGCGGTCGTGGTCCGCGTTCGCGGCTTCTTCGGTGGAGAGCGAGCGGATGCCCACCTGCGTGATCGGCCCGCACTCCCGCGCCCGCGCCATCACGCACGCGTGGTTGCACGGGCTGCCGTGGTAGTCCTCGCGCAGGTCCGCGTGGGCGTCGATCTGCAGGATCCCCGTCCCCGGGTACGTCGCGCACGCGGCGCGCACCGCGCCGATCGTCACCGAGTGCTCGCCCCCGAGCACGATCGGCAGGTGCGTGTTGTCGATCGACCGCTTCACGCGCGCCTCGACCAGCTCCGCGAGCGCCTCGGGCGTGCCGTCGCACTCGATAGGCTCGCCCGTGTGGATGCCCTCGTCGCACGGCTGCGAACCCGTCTGGATATCCCACCACTCGACCTGCGCCGACGCGGCGATGATCGCGTCCGGGCCCTTGTCCGCGCCCTTCATGTAGGTGGAGGTGCGGTCGTACGGCACGGGGATGATCTCGGCCAGCGCCGTGGCGCGGTCGCACATCTCCGCCGGCAGGTCGAGGAACCCGCCCGTGTGTTCGAACTGCTGCGTCATCCGATTATTCCGATTCGAGGTAGGTGTACGACGAGAGCCCGTTCTCGTACAGGCGGAGGAAGGTCCGCATCTCGTCGACGTTCAGGAGCCCCTCCTCGTGCGCCCGCTCGCAGTCGAGCGTGATCGCGCGGGCGAGCGCCTTGGGGTCGTAGAGCATGTACCCGAGCACCTGCTCGGAGGTCTCGCCCCGCACGACGTCCGCGATCTTCCACGACCCGTTGCTCACCTCCACGTGCACCGCGTTCGTCTCGCCGAAGAGGTTGTGCAGGTCGCCCAGGGCCTCCTGGTACGCGCCGACGAGGAAGATGCCCAGCCGGTAGTCCTCGCCCCTCAGCGGGTGGGCGCTCAGCACGGGCGTCACGCCCTCGCCGCTCACGAAACTCGTCATCTTCCCGTCCGAGTCGCACGTGATGTCCGCGAGCACGACGCGACGCGTCGGCTCCTCGTCCAGCCGGTGGATCGGCACCACCGGGAACACCTGCTCGATCGCCCACACGTCCGGGAGCGACTGGAAGAGCGAGAAGTTGCAGAAGTACGTCTCCGGGATCGCGAGGTTCACGTCCGAGAGCTCCTCGGGCGGCTCGGCCATCGTCGAGATGATCTCCGCGAGCCGGCCCCGGATCTCCCAGTACAGACGCTCGGCGAGCGAACGCTGGCGGAGCGTGATGTACCCGAGGCCGAACGCGGACAGCGCCGCCTCGTACGCCTCGGACATGTCGTGGTACACCTCGAGCGCCGTCTCCTCGGTCAGCTCCTGCTTCGCGCCGATCAGGTCCGCGAGCGGCTGGACGATCTCGCCCTGACGGTCCAGCGCGTCGTCGTCCGTCGCCTCGACCCGCGCGAGCTGGCCCGGCCCCGTCGCCCCGAGCACGTTCACGACGAGCACGCTCGCGTGCGCCACCATCGCCCGCCCGCACTCGGAGATGATCGTCGGGTGCGCCGCGCCCACCGCGTCGCACGACGCGCCGATGCGGTACACCACGTCACGCGCGAACTCCTCGACCGTGTAGTTCATCGACGAATCGCTCGACGTGTGCTCGCCCGTGTAGTCCACGCCGAGCCCGCCGCCGATGTCCAGGTACTTCAGGTTCTCGCACTCGGCGCGGGCGTCCACGTACACCTGCGACAGCTCCGCCACCAGCGACTTCACCGTGCGGATGTCCTGCATCTGGCTCCCCGCGTGGCAGTGCAGCAGCTCGAGACGGTCGATCATGCCGTACGCCTTGAGCCGGTCCATCACCTCGACCAGCTCGCTCACAAAGAGCCCGAACTTCGAGGACGAGCCCACCGACTCCTTCCACCGCCCGCTCCCCGAGCCGGACAGCTTGATCCGCACGCCGATCGGCACGCGGACGTCGTACTCCTTGCTGATCCGAACCACCAGCTCCAGCTCGCGCAGGCTCTCCACCACCGGGACGATCTTCCGCCCGAGCTTCGTCGCCAGCGCCACCGCCTCGATGTAGCGCGCGTCCTTGAAACCGTTGCACACGATCATCTGCTCGTTGTGACCCGCCGTCACCGCGAGCACCGTCAGCAGCTCCGGCTTGGACCCGACCTCGAGCCCGAAGCCCAGCTCCTGCCCGCACCGCGCCACCTCCTCGACGATGTGACGCTCCTGGTTCACCTTGATCGGGTACACCGCGCTGAACGCGCCCCCGTAGCCCATCTCCTCCATCGCCCCGTCGAACGCACCGCGCAGCCGCCGCAGCCGGTTCGCCAGGATTCCCGAGAACCGCAGCAGCACCGGTGCGCTGATCCCGCGCTTGTCCAGGCCCGACACGATCTCGTGCAGGTCGACGCCGGGGGAGTCCTCGCCGTCCGGGTGAACCAGCACCGTCCCACGCTCGCCGACGGAGAAATACCCCGCCCCCCACGAGCTCACCGCGTAGTGCGCGTCGGCGTCGGTCACCGACCATCCGGTTGAAGTGTCGGGGCTCGTTCGGGCGTTACTCGGCGTGGGGATCGTGCTCATGGCGCTCAAACTATAAACTTGACGATTCACCCTGTCCGGAGAAAAAACGCATGACCATCCGCGATTTCATGGAAACCCACTACCGCCACTTCAACGCGGCCAGCACGCTCGACGCCGCGAAGGCCTACGAGGCCCACATCGAGGCCGGCGGCCCCATGATGGTCACCCTCGCCGGCGCCATGAGCACGGGCGAGCTGGGCCGCTCCCTCGCCGAGATGATCCGACGGGGCAAGGTCCACGCCATCTCCTGCACCGGCGCCAACCTCGAAGAGGACGTCTTCAACCTCGTCGCCCACAACCACTACGAGCGACTCCCCAACTACCGCGACCTGACTCCCGCCGACGAGGTCGCCCTCGTCGAACGCGGCCTCAACCGCGTCACCGACACCTGCATCCCCGAGGAGGAGGCCTTCCGCAAGCTCGAGCACCACATGCTCAAGCGCTGGAAGGACGCGGACAAGGCCGGCGTCCGCAAGCTCCCCCACGAGTATTTCACCGACCTCCTCCTCTCCGGCGACCTCGAGAAGGACTACGAGGCCGACCCCGAGAACTCCTGGCTCCTCGCCGCGGCCAAGGCGGGCATCCCCCTCATCGTCCCCGGGTGGGAAGACTCGACCCTGGGCAACATCTTCAGCGCGCACGTCATGGAGGGCGACCTGAGCTCGACGGACCCGGTGCTCCCGGGCGTGGACTACATGATCCGCCTCTGCGATTGGTACACCGAGCACTGCAAAGGTCGGGGCGTCGGCTTCTTCCAGATCGGCGGCGGCATCGCGGGCGACTTCCCCATCTGCGCCGTCCCCCTCATGCGCCAGGACCTCGGGCGCGACGTCCCGCACTGGTCCTACTTCTGCCAGATCTCCGACTCGACGACCTCCTACGGCTCGTACTCCGGCGCCGTGCCCAACGAGAAGATCACCTGGGACAAACTCAGCGCCGACACCCCGCGGTTCATCGTGGAGTCCGACGCGACCATCGTCGCGCCGCTCATTTTCGGCTACCTCCTCGGCTGGTGACCCCCCCTAACCCGTCGCGACACGGCGAATGACAGCGGCTTCATGCGCCCGTCACGATGGTGTCATGCGCGCCGGGTACTGTTCCTGCGAACTGATCGCGGCTCCGCTCCGCCGTTCGGAACAGTTCTTTCCCCTCTTCTTCACCCACACCACGAAACGAGCGACAGGAGACCACCCCATGAGCGACCTGACCAACAAGACCATCGCCATCCTTTCCACCCACGGATTCGAGCAGAGCGAGCTCACCGAGCCGCTGAACGCCTTCCGGAACGACGGCGCCACCGTGCACGTCATCAGCCCGGAACCCGGGAAGATCAAAGGCTGGAAGGGCGGCAACTGGGGGGACGAGATCCCTGTGGACACGACCATCGAGAAGGCCAACGCCGACGACTACGACGCGCTCATCCTCCCCGGCGGCGTCATGAACCCCGACGCCCTCCGCATGCGCGAGGACGCGACCGCCTTCGTCCGCGAGTTCTTCAAGGCCGGCAAGCCCGTCGCCGCGATCTGCCACGGCCCGCAGGTCCTCATCGACTGCGGCGTCGTCGAGGGACGCTCGCTCACGAGCTACCCGTCGATCAAGAACGATCTCAAGAACGCCGGCGCCCGCTGGTCGGATCAGGAGGTCGTGTGCGACCAGGGCCTCGTCACCAGCCGCACGCCGGATGACCTCCCCGCCTTCATCGACAAGACACGCGAAGAAATCCGTGAGGGCGCGCACGCCGCGCAGGCCACCGCCTGAATCCTTCGTTCACACCGTCTCTGGTCGAACAGCACGCCCCGGCACACGCGAGTGTCCGGGGCGTTTTTTTACGGATGTATCAGGCAGCGGTCTCTCAGCCGAGATGCCGAGAGCGCGCACAAAAAAACCCACGCACCCGGAGGGCACCGAACCGGATACGCGGGAGAATTGCTTGTCAGTCGAACGTGCTCCGCCGTTGGCGGCGGAGCCGCCCCGTCAGCCGGAGTTTTCGAGCGTCTCGCGCTCGTTCGCGCGGTGGAAAGATGCCCAGAACACGGGGTTCAGGAGCAACGCGAGCAGCGCGATCACACCAAGGACCACGCCCGCGATCGGAGAAAACACGACCGCCACGGCGAGCGCGATGGCGAGCATCGCCACCACAATCGAAAGGAGGGCGATGTTGATGCCGCGCGAGGTCACCTCGGGGTGCGCGGGCGTCCCTTCCGGAGAAATCTTGCTGATGCGGTCGGCGCGACGGGTGAGATCATCGTCGCTCTCGCGTGTGTTGGTATGGGTGAACTGTGTCATGGTTTGTGCCCTTCGTGAAGAAGAATGTGATGTCATCCACCCCTTTGGATGCGCGAGCCGCACGCGCCGTTACGAAAACACGAAGCGATCTTCTCTTGCGCATGAAAGGGATTTCATGTCCCGGCCAGGCGCTCGCCCCGCAGATGTTCGGCGCTCCGCTTCATCCCACGCAGCATCCCGCGGAACACGATGTTGTGGAACGGGAGCACGGCGTACCAGTACATCAAGCCGAACAGACCCTTCGGGCGGAAACGCGCCGTCATCGTCAGCTTCGAGCGCGCCTCGCCGATCGGCTCGATCTCGAACTGCAACCCCGCGACCCCCGGGAGCTTCATCTCGGCGCGCAGGTCGAGCGAACGCCCCGGCTCCACACCCGTCACGCGCCAGAAATCCAACGCCTCGCCGTACTCAACATCGTCCGGGTGGCGCCGGCCCCGGCGCACACCCGGTCCGCCCACCGCCTGGTCCAGAAGCCCGCGGATCTTCCAGAGGATGTCCGCCGCGTACCAGCCGTTCCCGCCCCCAACCCGGCACACCGCGGCGTACACGTCCTCCGCGTCCGCGTCGATCTCGATGTCGCGCCGATCAACGAACAGCGTCCCGCCCGCCCAGTCCGGGTCGCCCGGCAACCGCCCCGCGGCCGACCATCGCGTCAGAACGGAGTTTGTCCGGATTTTCACGAGCGCCCGCCCGATCGCTTCCGACGGCGTGCTCGTCTCCCGCGGCATGTCTCTTTGCACGGCGTCGTCGCGCACCACGACCCGATTCCGGAGCCCCTCCGCGAGCGGACGCGCGATCGCCGGGCTCACCGGCGTCACCAGCCCGATCCACAGCGAGCTCAGCTTCGGCGTCAGCACCGGCAGCGGGATGATGATCCGCTTCGCCAGCCCGAGTTCTTCCGCCATCACCTGCATCAGCTTCCGGTACGAGAGCACCTCCGGCCCGCCGATGTCGTACCGCTGCCCCAGGCTCTCAGGCGTGTCCAGGCACTCGACCAGCCAGTGCAGCACATCAACCACGCTGATCGGCTGGCACTCCGTGCTCACCCATCGCGGCGTGGTCATGATCGGGAGCCGCTCGACGAGGTACCGAAGGATCTCGAACGACGCCGACCCCGATCCGATGATGATCGCGGCGCGGAACGATGTGACGGGGATGCCGGATCCCTCGAGGATCTCCTCGACCTCCCGACGCGAGCGCAGGTGCTCGCTCAGGTCCGAGCCCAGCTCGCCGAGCCCGCCGAGGTAGATGATGCGGCCGACGCTCGCGGCCTTCGCGGCACGCGTAAAAGATTCCGCCAGCTCACGGTCTCGCTCGGCGAAGTCGTCGGTGCCCGACTCCATCGAGTGCACGAGGTAATACGCCGCGTCGCAGCCCTTCATCGCGTCTGCGAGCGCTTCCGTGTCGGCGATGTCCGCGCGCACGACTTTGACGCGCGGGTGCGTCGACCAGGGACGCGTGTCGAGCTTCCGGGGCTCGCGGACGGCGCACACGATTTCGTGGCCCTTCTCGAGGAGCTCCGGGCCCAGGCGCCCGCCGATGTACCCCGTCGCGCCCGTCAGGAAGACGCGCAAGCGCTCGCCGCCGGCGGAGGTTCGGTGTGTGAACGTTAGATCGTTGTCGACCACACCCGGATCCTACCGATGCAGCAGCGGACGGGGATGCCTGCAAGAAGCGGGCCGGTCAGCCTCGGGAGCGAACGCAACGCGCGGATCGCCCGCAACGACGGGCGAATCCGAACGGTGATCCCGTCGCGATCATCCGCGAGGATGCGCACCGGGGAGCCGTTCGCGAACGCTCGGAGGCGACCCGCCGCGCTCACTTTGGGACGTCGGCGCCGTTCTGCGTCCGGATTCGGAGCGTCCCGTCGAGCTTCCATTCCGCACGCTCCGCCCCGGAGCCGGTCCCGCTGGGGATCATCACCGTGAACTCATCAAAGTCGTACGTGATCTCGGCGTTTCGACCCGTCAGACGGTCGTACAGCCCGATGGCCAGGTCCGGCCACGTCTTTGTCTGCTCGCTACCCATGATTCGGTGCCTTTCTGTCGGAGGAAATGTGTCCGGTGGTCTTCGCGGATCGCGGCGGGCCGGATTCAACGGCGTGGCACCGGGCATCCATCTACACTCGTCCCCCCGTGACGCACGACCCCCGCGATATCCGGACACACACGGACCGCCCCTTCCACGGCTGGGCGATGCTGGGCGTCGCCTCCGTCGCCTACGCCGCCTCCGCGCCGGGGCAGACCGTCGTCGTGAGCCAGTTCAACAACGCCTTCCGCGAAGACCTGGGCCTCACCGCCGCGCAGCTCGGATCCGCTTACATGTTCGGCACCGTCGCCGCCGCGGTCCCGCTCGTGCTCGTCGGCAAGGCGTCCGACCGCTTCGGCCCGCGCGCTGTCAGCGCCGTCGTGTGCGTCCTCTTCGCGCTCGCGTGTGCCGCGATGGGCCTCGTGAACGGGCTCGTCTCGCTCACCATCGGGTTCTTCCTGCTGCGCTTCCTCGGCCAGGGCTCGCTCAGCATGCTGAGCGGCCACGCCCTCGCGCTGTGGTTCGAGCGCAAGCTCGGGACGATGAACGGCATCAAGCTCATGCTGGGCCAGGTCGGCTTCGCCATCGTCCCCGGCGTCGCCCTCGTGCTCATCGAGCGCTTCGGCTGGCGCGCCGCCTACCCGGCGCTCGGCGCGGGCGTGCTCGTGATCCTCCTCCCCCTCGTGCTCATCGTCTCCCGCGATCACCCCGCCCAGCTCGGCCAGCGCCTCGACGGCGACCCGCAAGCGGACCCGCCCGGCCACGAACACGACGACGAGGAACCCGAGTTCGACCCCACCGGACACAAGCACATCGACCCCGCGTTCACCCTCGCGCAGACGCTCCGCACCGGCACCTTCTGGGTGCTCGCCGGCGCGATCTCGCTGGGCGGGCTCATCGGCACCGCGCTGCTCTTCCACGCCCAGCCCATGCTCGAGGCGCGCGGGCTCGACCCCGTCCACTCCGCCGCGATCGCCCGCACCTGGTCCTTCGCCGTCATGCTCTCGATCTTCCCCTCCGGCTGGATCGCGGACCGCGTCCACGCGCGCGTGCTCGTGCCCGTTTCCCTCGCCCTGCTCGCCCTCGCCACGGGCATCCAGCTCCTGCACGGCGGCCTCTGGGTCATGCACGCGAGCCTCGCACTCTTCGGCCTCGGCCAGTCCCTCTCCGCCGGCGTCGCCGTCCCGACCATCGCCCGCTACTTCGGCCGCGCCCACCACGGCGCCATCCGCTCCATCGTCACCCTCATCGTCGTCGCCGGCACCGGGCTCGGCCCCGTCGCCCTGGGCCTGAGCGTCGACCGCCTCGGCTCGTTCCGACCCGGGCTCATCGCCTTCGCCGTCGCCTGCGTCCCGTTCCTGCTCGCCTCGACCCTGCTCACAAGGCCGGAACCGCCGAACCGGAACGCGCCGGGAACGTAAGCGTCCAATGGGAAACATCGACGGTGTAGACTCGAACCGGAAGGAGAAGCCGATGCGCCAATCCCGTCCGATCCTCGCGGTGCTTCTCGTCCTTCTCGCGATGTTCGCCATCGCGCCGAGCGCGCAAGCCGACGCCATCCTCAATACCAAGACGTACACCTCCCCTTCCGGCGCGTACACCCTCACCGTCGACCCGAGCGAGCGGGGCGGCTTCGGCCCCTCGACCGTCACGCTCAGGCGCAATGGCGAGACCGTCTACGAGCGCGAATACGACTTCACCCTCTGGATCGCGGATGTCACGGACACCGGCGCCGTCGCGGGCGCCGCGTACCGCAACGGGCTGCAGAGCTTCCCGCCGCGGCACATGCGGCAGGATCCGGCTGTCGAGGTCATCATTCTCGATGCGCAAGGCGACGTCATCGCCCGCGACGCGCACGAGCGGAAACACAATACGCGTGTGATGACGAACCCGCCGTCACCCCTCAACCCGACGATCAGCGGCGTGCACGCGCTGCCCGAGCAGGACATCGTGTTCGTCAGACCGAGGTATCGCAACGAACAGAGCCCGGTCTCGTGGTGGCGCTACCGCCTCAGCACGGGCGAGGCGCTCGAGCCGATCACGCCCGATCAACCCGCGAGCAAGAGCCAGTGGAGCTCGCCCAACGACACGCGCGTCGTTTCGATCCCCGGCACACCGCTCCAGGCCGTGCACTGGACGAATTTCAATCCCGATTTCGACCCGCCCTGGGACGTCCGCGTCTCCGTCGTCACGAGCGACGGCAAGACGGTCTTCTCCCGCGACTACCCCGGGGAGTACGACGAGTTCGATGAGCGGGGCTGGCACTACCAGCGCGACCTCATCGCCCGCGGCATTCATCAGCTCGCCGTCGCGGAGAGGTCGTTCAGCTTCCGGAGCTTCGCCGAGAACGCTATTACGACGTTCTCGTGCGCACAAGAAGGCGACCGCTGGGTCATCTCGGAAACCGATCGCGTCGCAACGGACGACGCGGCGCTCTTCGTCGCAGCCGAGCGAGCTGAGCCCGAGTTGAGGCCGATCGTCCTCCCGATCGTCGGCCGCATCGAGCTCGAGCGCGTCGCGGAGTTCGGCGGCATGACCGTCGCGCCAAGCGGCCTGCTCCACGTGATCGATACGAGCGACGGCAGCGTCCACGTCTTCGATCAAGCCGGCGAACCCCTGCGCGTGCTCCGTTGCGAAGAAGGCGATTTTCAGATCAGACAGGGAGGCGGCTTGCTTTCTGTTGACGCCGACGGCGTCACACACGTGATCCCCTGCATGCAGTTCACGGACTACAACGAAGAGGAGAAGGGCTACCTCACCTTCGACGCGGAGGGCAACCGCATCGGCTTCGAGCCGCTGCTCACCGACGAGGTCCGCGAGCAGTGGCTCCACAAGCCCGACGGCACGGGCACGTGGGTGCTCGGGTACCACGTCGCCCTGCTCTTCGACGAGCAATCCAGCGAGCCGCGCGTCATCCGCAAGTCCGCGGACGGGCGATGGTTCGGCACCGTCCAGGACGGCGCCGTCGCGCCGGACGGCTCGCTCGCGCTGATCTCCTTCACGGACAACCGGGGCATGATGCCGTCCGGGGCGTTCCTGAGCATCTACGACCCCGAGGGCACCCCCCTCCGCGCGTACACGCCGCCGAAAGATGTTCGATTCGGTGCGCCCGCGTTTGTCCCGCCCTGGGTCGCCGTCTGGGGCCGGACGAGCCTCTACATCTACGACACCCGGACCGACGACCCCCCGCGCGAATTCCGCATCGCTGGCATGGGCGAGGATTCGTACTGGTACCTCGGCAGCGGGATCCGGCCCGGCGAGCTGCTGCTCCACAACGCGAACTCGACCGAGCTCATCCGGCTCGAGCTCCCCGAACCCTGAAACGGGCACGCCCCGCGCGCGAACGAGGCGTGACAAGGCGCGAGTGGGGGAGTGCGCCCGTCACGCCTCGGAACGCGAAGCGTGGCTCGGATGGAGTCGTCTCAGCTCATCGCTTCCGGCGCGCGACGAGCAGGCCCGACAGCGCCATCAGCGCCGCGCTGCCCGGGCTCGGGACGTACTGCTCGATCGTCGGCGAGTACTCGATCGTGAACACGTCCGCGTAGCGGTACACCTGGCCGTTCTCCTCGAACGTGGCGTCCGGGTCGATCAGGAAGATCGGGTCCGCGACGGCGTTCACCTCCGCCTGCGACGCGATGACCGCGCTCGCGCGGATCTCCACGCGGCCGGTGAGACCCGTCAACGCGACCGTGCTCACCGTCGTCGAGAACGAATCGCTCAGCTGCCCGACGCCCGATTGCGCACTCGTGAACGCGCCGTCGTTGATGATCGGGTTGTTGCTGTCTCCCGGGCGGAACACACGCACCGTCCCCGACGCGATCGCGTTCGTGAGCGTGATGTCCGCACGAGGCGTGATCGACGCGTCCGCGAACGCCGTCACCACGAGCGGAACCGTCGGACGCGTGATCGTCCCGAGCGGCACCACGCGATATCCGTACGTCACCTGCGCCGAGAGCGAGTCGCCGAAGACTGAGCCCGTGCTCGATGCCTCGATGTCCGCGATCGGGCGCATCCCGCCGCCGGTCACGGCGTTCCCCGTGAACATCGCCGGGTTCGCGCCGCCGCTCGCGTCGGTGTACTGGAAACTCGTGCTCAGTGGCACGTTCGACGGCGGCGGGACCGAGCCACCGCCGCCCGTCGAGATGTGTACGCGGTACTCCGCGTCGCCAACCGGTGATTGCGCGTGAGCGCACGAAACCCATCCGCCAACCGCGATCGCGGCGGCGGCACACACGGTGTGCCAGGTCATCATCTTGTCTCCCTTTCCTGATCTTTCTCCCAACCCGCGTCGCGAGACGCGAGCACGAATCGCCCGCCTTCCGAAACGGGCGAACGATCGTAAGTCTAGTTTATACAAGAGGTAAGGGAAGTAGAATCTCGCGATTTTGTCGATTCCGCGGGCCTTTCCGCCCCACGTCCGATCACCGCACGTAATTCGCCGCGGGGTTCGAGTTCTGCGCCATCCCGCCCTGGTCCACGATCGGCCCGAGAGAGTTCCCCGCCGCCGAGACCTGGAAGCCGGGCAGCGTGTTGCCCATCGCGACGTTCTCGATCACGGTGTGACCGTTCCCGCCGATGACGAATCCGAACTCCCCGTTCCGCGACGCCTCGCACCGGCGTACGAGCCCGCTCGACGTGCAGTTCAGGTCGAACCCGGACAGCCCGTTACCGTTGCTCACACACCCGACGAGCGACGGGCTCCCGCACCCGACGCCGATGGCCGATCCGAAGACCATCCCCGACCCGCCGTTGTTCGAGCACACGACCACCTCCGCCTGCCCGTCGCCCTCGAAGTCGAAGACGCTCGTGCCGTTGCCCGTGTTCCCGTTCGCGGTGGAGCGCTGGAAGATGAACACCGCGCCGCCGCTCCCCCCGCCGCCCATCACGCTGAGCCCGTCACCGATGTTGTCGGAGAAATCGCACGTCTGCACGCGGACGCTCGGGCAATCGACAAAGATCGTCCCGCCCACCTGGTTGCCGCTCGCGACGCACGCGTCGAGCGAGGCGTCCATCGATTCTTCGAAGATCCCGCCGCCGCCGTTGCCGATCGCGCGGCAGTGGTCCATGCTCGCGCGCCGCGCCCCCTCGCCGCCGCCCAGCGCCGCGAACCCCGCGCCGGCGTTGCCCGACGCGACGCACGCGTCCCACGCGAAGACGTGGCTCGACCCGCCGGCCGAGTTGGGCACGCCGCACCGGAAACCGTCGCCCCCGTTCCCGTTGGCGTCGCACCCGCTGAAGCCGATGAGCGTGCTCGCGTCGCTCGCGTCCTCGCCGATGAGAAACACGAAGCCGTGCCCGAAGTTGCCGCCGGACGAGCACCGGCGCATCGCGACCGAATGGGCGCGCGATCGCTGGCGATCAAGGCTAGCGCGCACGCCAGAGCCGCCGTTGCCAGAACAGTGCAGCAAGTCGAAGTCATACGAGATCGACTCGTCGCCCCCGCCCGTGACGTGCAGCCCGTGGAGCGAGTTCTGGTGCATGCTCGCGCCGCGGATCCGCACGCGGGATTCCCCGCCCGCCGCACCGCTCGGCGCGTACACGATCCGAGCCCCGCTCTCCCCGTTGCCCACGCACGAGATCTCCTGGATCTCCAGCGACGACGGGGCCCCCGCCGGCATCGACACGAGCACCCCGTTCCCGCCGCACGACTCGAATGACGACGTCACAATGTTCACCGATGTCCCCGCGCCGGCCCGCGAGACGTCGAAGCCGTCGCCCCCGCACCCCACCACGCGCACGCCCGTGATCGAGCACGACGATGCACCCTCGACGTGCACCCCGTCCACCGCCCACCCGCTGATGAGCGACGCGCCCGTCCCGGGAGAGACCGAGCCGTCGATCACCACGTGCACGCGCCGGTTCGCCGGATCGGTGTTGCGCACCGTGAACGCGTTCGCCGCGCCGGGCACGCCGCGGAGGGAAAACCCACGCATCGAGACCGTCACCGTGTGCTCGCCCGGCGCAAAGCTGTCGCAATCGACGACGATGCAATCCTCACCCGCCGTCCCCGTGATGTCGCCCGAGAGCGTGTACACGCCCGGCGAGGTGATCACGTGCGACGCGCCCTGCCCACCGGGAAGATCAGCCACGCTGATTCCCGGCACGATCTCGTCGAGCGATTTCATCGTCGGCGTCACCGGGCCCGGCGGCGGGTTCAGATCGCCGCACACCGCGGGCGACGCGAACACGGAAACACACAACCCGGCGCACGCCAGCACGGTCCACGGCTTCATGATTCGTCCCTTCTCGAGAGCAACAACTCCTCGGGGCCCTCACGAAAGGCGAACCCCATCAACCAACGATGCACCCCGGGCACGCCCCCCGCAAGCTCTAGACACTTGTGCGATCAATCTTGCGCCACGAAGATGAGAATTCCGGGCGATTCACACAGGAGCGATGCCTGATGGAACACGAACAAACCCCGCCGGACCCCGCACCGACAAGCCCGCCGCCCGGCCCATACCACGCCTACTGGCAGGCCAACATCCGCTACGTCCTCATCCTCCTCGCGATCTGGTTCGCCGTCTCCTACGGGTGCGGCATCCTCTTCGCCGAGCAGCTCAACAGGTTCAGCGTCCCCGGCTCGGGATTTCCGCTCGGATTCTGGTTCGCCCAGCAGGGATCCATCTACACCTTCGTCCTCCTCATCGCCGTCTACGTCTGGCTCATGAACCGCCTCGATCGGCGCTTCGGCGTGCGGGAGGACTGACCCATGGACGTGCAGGCCTGGACCTTCGTCATCGTCGGGCTCACCTTCGCGCTGTACATCGGCATCGCGATCTGGTCTCGCGCCGGATCCACGAGCGAGTTCTACATCGCCGGCAAAGGCGTCCACCCCCTCGCCAACGGCATGGCTACCGGCGCCGACTGGATGTCCGCCGCCTCCTTCCTGGGCATGGCCGGCGCGATCTCGTTCCTCGGCTACGACGGCTCCGTCTACCTCATGGGCTGGACCGGCGGCTACGTCCTGCTCGCGCTCCTGCTCGCGCCCTACCTGCGCAAGTACGGCAAGTTCACCGTGCCCGACTTCGTCGGGGACCGCTACTACTCCAGGCTCGCGCGCCTCGTCGCCGTGATCTGCGCCGTCTTCGTCAGCTTCACCTACGTCGCCGGTCAGATGCGCGGCGTCGGCGTCGTCTTCTCGCGATTCCTCGAGGTCGATATCACCCTGGGCGTCCTCATCGGCATGGGCATCGTCTTCTTCTACGCCGTGCTGGGCGGCATGAAGGGCATCACCTACACCCAGGTCGCGCAGTACTGCGTCCTCATCTTCGCGTTCATGGTCCCCGCGATCTTCCTCTCCATCCAGCTCACCGCGAACCCCATCCCCCAGATCGGCTTCGGCGGCGAACTCGCCGGCGAGATCGGCACGCAAATAGCAGCGGGCGAGCGCACCACCCTCCTGAGCAAGCTCGACGGCCTCAACGAGGAACTCGGCTTCGCCCGCTACACCGACGGCTCCAAGTCCACCCTCGACGTCTTCTGCATCACCCTCGCCCTCATGGTCGGCACCGCCGGCCTCCCGCACGTCATCATCCGCTTCTACACCGTCCCCCGCGTCCGCGACGCCCGCATGAGCGCCTTCTGGGCGCTCCTGTTCATCGCCATCCTCTACACCACCGCCCCGGCGGTGGGGGCCTTCGGGCGCGTCAACCTCATCGACGCCACGCGCAACGCCTGGTACTCCGCCGAAACGGCGCAGGACGCCGGCGACACAAACCCCAAGCTCATTCCCGAATGGTTCCGCACCTGGGAAGACGCCGAGCTCATCGCCTGGGTCGACAAGAACAACGACGGGCGAGTCCAGTACCGCGGCGCCAACAGCGCGCCCGCGAACGCGTTCGAGGGCACGCCCGAGTTCCTCGAAGACCGAGGAGACCACGGCCAGCGCCTCCTCGCCAACACGCCGACGGACAACGACAACGAGCTCTTCGTCGATCAGGACATCATGGTCCTCGCGAACCCCGAGATCGCGGGGCTGCCCAGCTGGGTCATCGGCCTCGTCGCCGCGGGCGGGCTCGCCGCCGCGCTCTCCACCGCCGCGGGCCTCCTGCTCGTCGTCTCCACCGCGATCAGCCACGACCTGTGCAAGAAGATGATCACGCCGGACATCACGGAGAAACAGGAGCTGATCGTCGCCCGCGTCGCCGCCGCGCTCGCCGTGTGCGGCGCCGGCTACCTGGGCATCAACCCGCCGGACTACGTCGCGGCCACCGTCGCCTTCGCCTTCGGCCTCGCCGCGTCGAGCTTCTTCCCCGCGATCATCCTGGGCGTCTTCGTCAAACGTGCCAACCGCGAGGGCGTCATCGCCGGCATGCTCTGCGGCATCGGCTTCACCACCGCCTACATCCTCTACTTCAAATTCCTGGGCGGCACGAAGGACCAGTGGCTGCTCGGCATCTCCCCCGAGGGCATCGGCGCCGTCGGCATGGCGATCAACTTCCTCGTGGCGTTCTTCGTCTCGAACATCACCAAGGAACCGCCGCAGGACGTGCAGGACCTGGTCGAGCAGATCCGCGTCCCGAAGGGCGCGGGCGAGGCGCATGAGCTGAGCGCGTAGAAGCCTGCGGCGTGATCGACCGCCACCGAGAGCTGATCCTCCACGCTGGAACGATCCCGGCCACGATCGCGAAGGGTGTCTCTGCATGCACGCTCGCAGACTTTTCATGCGCGACCAAGACGCGATTCCGATCGCTGAACGTCGATTCGAGCGATGATCCTTGCGTCGGCGATGAGGTGGTATACGGTGAACGTGCCGGGGCCCATGTTCCTGTCCACCCGTTACCTACCCGTTGTAGCAGTGAGGGCACCATGCGTCGCACCCCCCGGTCGTTCGTCTGTTCGATCCTGACCCTGTGCCTCGCCGCCGCGGCGCATGCCCAGCTCGGGCAGCTCAACCCGCCACCCGGACCGGTGACCGAGACCGGCCCGCACCTCGGGCAGATCCAGCCCTGGCGCGCGCTCAACGACCTGCCCGGATCCGCGACGGCCGTGCACGTCATCACCCAGCCCGGCGTCTACTACATGACCGAGGAGATCAACGCTGGCCTCGGTCAGAGCGGCGTCGAGATCAACCTCGACGGGCTCCCCCCGGGCGAGTACTACGTCTGCATCATCTCGAACGGCAACCCCGTCAGCCTGAGCGCGGGCTCGATGCACGGCATTTCGTACACCGACAACGTCGGCCACGATGAGACCATCGAGATCAGCTCCGGCTCGTCGGGCGACGTCCGCTCGCCCATCAGCGGCGCGACCGGCGACGGCGTCCACTGCATCGGCGCCGAGCGCGTCATCCTCCGCGGGCTCGAGATCACCAACTGCGAGGGCGACGGCGTCCACCTCCGCGACAACCGCGTCTCCGAGAACAGCAACATCCTGATCCGAAACGTGGGCGGCGACGGTATGGACACCGTCGCGGATCTGACGGCGAGCTACGTCTGCCGGAAGAACGACTCCTGGGTCAGCATCAGCCACACCGGCGGCTCCGGGTCGAAGGCCCTCGAATACCACCAGCTCGTGTTCACCGACGCCCGGGTCAGCGGAGCGGACGGCCCCGGCATCGAGATCCATCCCCGCGCCTTCATCGACGACGGCGGCATCGCGAGATCGTCGAGTGTCCGCATGCACCGGTGCTCCTCGAACAACTCGGGCTCCGACGGCGTGCGCGTCGTCCCGCAGGCGGCGGGCACGTACGCGTTCGATCTTACGGTCATCGACACACTCGCCAACACCGGCAACGGGATCTGCATCGAGAACACCGTCGGCGCGGACTGCACGGTCGCCCTGGACGGCTTCGATTCGAGCGGCAACGGCGACAACGGCTACGTCTCCCGTCGCGACGGCGCCGGCGTGTGCGCCGAGCGGCTCATGAACGGCCGGATGAACGGCAACGGCGAGAACGGCGTCCTCTCGGACGGTGACACGACCTACTACAAGTACGAATTCGAGAACGTCATGGTTACCAGCACGACCATCCACGGCATGAGCTTCCTCCCGGGCGCCGGGGCTGCGCAGACGGGCGCCGATGTGAGCATGGACCAGGTCAGCATCTCCAACAGCGGGGGGCACGGCCTCCACGTCGGCTGGAGCGCCGCCGCGGGGCCGTTCGCCATCGAGATGGACCGCTGCCGCATGACCCAGAACGGCATGAGCGGCGCCTTCCTGCAGGCCGCCGACGGCTGCGGCATAGACAACAACTGCAATTCCAACGGCGACGACGGGCTCTCCCTCATCGACGCCAGCGGCTCGTTCGAGTCCGGTACGTTCAACAACAACGGCGGGAGCGGCGTGCGCGCGCAGAACAGCTCCTGCTGGATCCGCGTCTCGCAGTGCACCGGCAACAACGCGAACGGCGCCGAGATCCAGGGCGGCTCGGCCACCATCGACGGCGGGCTCTTCTCGAACAACGCCTTCAGCGGCATCGACATGCAGGGCGTCCCCGCCGGCGTGATCGCGCGCGTGAGCGCGTCGAGCAACGGCGAGTACGGCATCTGGTGCCGGAACTCGGTCACCAACTGCTCGGTCGTCGACAACAACTGCAACGGCAACGAGGGCGGCATCCGCGTCGACGGCGCGAACAACGTCGTCCAGCGCAACACCGCCACGATCGGGCTCCTCGGCGGCATCACCGTCGCGCCCGGCAGCCTCGAAGGCCTGCCCGTCGACAGCAGCAACATCAACACCCACGCCAACCCGGCGGGGAACGTGGTGCGCTGAGAGCCCGACACACAGATGTGTGCGTCTCAAGAGGGCGCGCGGGGTGCGCTCCTGACCGGTCGGCGTCGCTATAGTCTGGTCCGGCCAGTTGATCCTTCGGGGAGTTCCGCATGACCGCAACCCTCACCATCCGCGACGAATCGCTCACGCCCGGCTTCGACGATCACGTCTTCGAGCTCGAGTTCCCCACCGAGTCCATCACCGTCCGCGAGATCATCCGCGAGCGGATCTACCAGGAAGTCGACGACGTCAACCGCGCCCTCCGAAACGGCGCACAGGGAGTCGGCTACCGCGGGCTCGTCGCGCCCTCGGACATCGAGCAGCGGCTGAACGACGGTCGCAAGAAGAAAAAGCCAAAGCTCGTCGACTGGAAAGCACAGTTCGAGCTCGCGACCGACGCGTACGAGCACAAGCGCATCCTCGTCCTCGTCGGCGACCGACAGACCGAATCGCTCGATGAGGTCATCACCATCACCGCCGGAACCGAGGTCACCTTCATCCGGCTCGTCATGCTCGTAGGCGGCTGATGTTCGGTTCGGAGCGTGAATACCCGGCGTGGTTTCGGATGGCCGAAGAGGCCGACCGTGCATCGAGAACGGGCGACCATACACGCAGATTCGACCTCGAGAATGAAGTCGGTTTGATGTTCGCAATGGCAGATCCCGCCGAGCGCGGACAGATGCTCGTGGAAGGACTGGAGATCTTGCTCGGCGAGATCCGGTCACGAAAATGGCGAAAGCTCAACCAGTCAGATCAATGGCGCCGCATCCACATCGCGAACACGCTCAGCAGCTCTATGAGACCCTCACGCCTCGTCGATCCCGATTCAGCCGCCAGAATCATCGAGCGGTCCGCAGAAATAATGGAAGAGTCCGGTCTCGTGCCGGTCATATTCAAGAATTTCTTCGCAGTTCTGGAGCGCAAGCCGGAGCACTATCAAGACTCCGAGCGGATCCGCAGCGCCTGCAAGAACGCCATTCCCGTCGCGGAGCAGCACGCCGACCGCATCGGCCATCGCACACTCGCGTATCTCCGACGGATCGCAAAGGGCGAGGCCGATATCCCTGTCGACGCCGACGAACCCTGGACCGACGCGGTGCACGCGGCACTCAAGGCCGCAACCGGCGAGCAGCGCGACGCCCTCGCGGCTTTCCTCAACCATTGCCGCGATGCCACGCAAAGCAAGCCGACGAAGAAGTGGCTCAAGCTGGTGCGCGAGCACATCGACACCGTCGGCGAGGACGAAATTCGTCGCATCATCAGCGCCTGGATCCCCCTCGCGGAAAAGCCCCGCGAATCGCCCAACCCCTACTGGCACGGCACCGACACCCCCGGCGCGCGCCTCTTCATCCCGGATCACCACCAGACCGTCCTCCGCGGGCTCTGCTGGGCCGCGGGTGTGATCGGCGGCGAGGACACCCCGCGCACGCTCGCGAGCTTCGCGATCTCCTGCTACCGCAAGATCCAGGGCATCGGCCCGCGCGCGCCGAAAGTCGGCAACGCCGCCGTCTACGCGCTCGGCATGATCCCGGGACGCGAATCCCTCGCGCAGCTTGCACGGCTCAACATCAAGGTGACCTACGGGACCGGTCTCAAGATGATCGCCAAGGCCCTCGACGAGGCCGCGGAACGCGAGGGCCTCCCGCGCGACGAGGTCGAGGAACTCGCCGTCCCCTCGTTCGGGATGGAAGCCGTCGGCCTCCGCATAGAACAACTCGCCGGGTACGAAGCGCAGCTCCGCATAGAAGGCGGGACGGACGCAAACGCGGTCTCCCTGAAGTGGATCAACCCAAGCGGCAAAGCCGTCAAGTCCGTCCCCGCGCCCGTCAAGCGCGACACGCCCGAAGAGCTGAAAGACCTCAAGGCGACGCTCAAGGACGCGAAGCAGATGCTCCCCGCCCAGCGCGACCGCATCGACTCGCTCTTTCTGGCGCAGAAAACATGGCCCCTCGCGACATGGCGCGAGCGGTACCTCGACCACGCCCTCGTCGGCACGATCGCGCGCCGGCTCGTCTGGGTCTTCCGCGAAGGCGATCGCGAAACCGCCGCGACCTGGTCGCACGACGAGTCGCCGGGCCTCGTCACACCCAATGGCGAGCCGTTCGACCCGGCACAAGACGCATCGGTCGAGCTCTGGCACCCCATCGACCCTCGCGCCGCGGACTCGAACGACCCGCTCCGCCCGGACATCATGGCCTGGCGCGAGTTCTTCGAGACCCGCGAGATCCGCCAGCCCTTCAAGCAGGCCCACCGTGAGATTTACCTCCTCACCGACGCCGAGCGCACGACAGAGGTCTACTCCAATCGCTTCGCGGCCCACATCCTCCGCCAGCACCAGATGAACGCGCTCAGCAAAGTTCGCGGGTGGCACAATGTCCTTCGGCTGCTCGTCGACGACTTCTACCCGCCCGCGACGAAGCAACTCGACCCGTGGGGCCTCCGCGCCGAGTTCTGGGTCGAGGGCGTCGAGTCCGAGGCGGACGAGTACGGCGCCACGGCGATGACCCACATCGCGACGGACCAGGTCAGATTCCACCGCACCGGCGCGCACGCGAACTACACACACGCCTCGGGAGGCGGGTACACGACATACGATTCCGATGACACCGCGCACCACCCGGTCCCGCTGGAGCAGGTCCCGCCGCTCGTCTTCTCCGAGATCATGCGGGACGTCGACCTCTTCGTCGGCGTCGCGAGCGTGGGCAACAATCCGGAGTGGGCCGACGGCGGGCCCGACGGCGCGTTCCAGACTCAGTGGCGGCATTTCGCGTTCGGCGACCTCTCGGGCACGGCCAAGGCCCGCGCCGACACGCTCTCCAGGCTCGTCCCGCGTCTCGCCATCGCCGATCGGTGCACGCTCGACGGGCGATTCCTCGTCGTCCGGGGTGAGATCCGGGCGTACAAGATCCACCTCGGCAGCGGCAACATCCTCATGGAGCCGAACGACCAGTACCTGTGCATCGTCCCCGGCCGCTCCGACCCGACGAAGAGCAGAGCGGAAAAGATCTTCCTCCCCTTCGAGGGCGACCGCACGCTCTCCGTCATCCTGAGCAAGGCGTTCATGCTCGCCGAGGACACGAAGATCACCGACACAACGATCCTCTCGCAGATCAAGCGGGGGATCTGACACACCGAACGCCGGCCCGTCGAGGCCTGCGAGCTCAGCGCGTGACCCTCACTCCTCCGCCAGATCAAAGTACGGCGGCTTCGTCTCCCACGGGTAGCCGTCTTTCGCCAGCCCGTACCCCACATCGAACAGCGCGTTCATGTACGCCTTGTCGAACGGCTCCGTCTCCTCGAGCGTGAAGCTCGGCGGGATGTACGCGAGGTTGAACCCCATCCCGTCACGACGCGCGCCGAGGTACATCCGGAACATATCGCCGATCCCCAGCGTCCGGATCATCGACGAGACCGTCCGGCCAGCGATCGACAGCGATCGCGCCTCGACCACCTCGTGCCGCGCCGCGAACGACGCGTTCCGGATGATGTACAGCTGCTGGTCCTCGGTGTTGATGCGCATCGCCTCGAATTCTTCCCCGATGTTGAGCGTCAGCGGGTACACGAACACCTGCGTCGTCGCGCCCCCGTCCACGTGCATCTCGTCGTACGCCTCCCCGTCCGCCGCGACCACGTCGATGTACACCGGCGGGAACGCCACCGGGATCGACGCCGACGCCAGCAGGATCTTGTGGATCAGCTCCACCTTGCCCGGGTGGTCGCTCGCCGCGATCCGGCTCACGTTCCAGTACACCGGCTCCATCAGGTCCAGGTTCGTCGTCCCGATGGTCAGCCGGCGCCCGCGCCAGTGCTCGCGCCCGATCGCCTCGATCATCTCCTCCGTGATGTGCTCCTGAATCGAGCGGTACAGCCCGCTCGAGTCCGCGAACGAGTCCGACGTCAGCCCCTCGAGCTTCCCCTTCTGACGCACGAGGTCCCTCGTCTCCACCGTGGTGTACACCGTGCGCAGCGCGTCGTCGTACTCCGGACCGAGGAACGCGAACGGCGCGATCAGCGCCCCCGTGCTGATCCCCGTCACCGCGCGGAACTCCGGCCGGTCCCCCCGCGCCGTCCACCCGCACAAAAGACCCGCCCCGAACGCCCCGTTCTGGCCGCCCCCCGACACCGCCAGGAACCGGATCGGCTCGCGCGCGAGGCCGCTCTCGCGGAGCTGGCGCGTGTACTCGGCCCGCCGATCGTCAAGGTCGTTCCCGCGCCCCGCGTACGCGTGGTCGCCGATGAACCGCGCCCAGGGCATCCCCGGCACCTCCGCCGTCAGCACCAGCTCCCGAGGGACCGGGTTCCGGTGAATCGGCGCGGCACACCCGCCGAGCACCATCGAGAACAGGAGGAGCACGAAACCGAACCGGGACGGGCGCATCATCGTCGGGATCCTTCTGCACGGGATTCGAAACCGGACCACGCGGGACACGAGTCAGAGCGCCGGCTCGCCAAGACCCTCTCCGCCGTACCCCCGCGGCTCCTTCGACCACGGGTACCCCTTCTCCGCCAGATCGTACGCCATGTCGAACAGCTTCCGCATGTACACCAGGTCGAACTGCTCGGCCGGGACCTCGCGGAAATCCTGAGGCATCGACGCGAGGTTGAACCCGATCCCGTCCCGCTTCGCCGCCAGGAAACACCGGTACAGGTCGCCGTACCCCTGCGCCCGGATCAGCGAGCTGATCGAACGCTCCAGGATCGGCAGCACGCTCTGCGGCGTCGCCTGCCACCGCGGCGTCTCGTGGGCGTTGCGGATCAGGTACATCTCCGCCCGTATCCCGTGCCGCTCGAGCAGCTCCCCCATCCGCAACGCGAACGGGTACATGAACAGCTGCGAGACCGTCCCCCCGTCCACGTGCAGCTCGTCGTACCGCTCCCCGTCGACCTCCACCTCGATCCGCACCGGCGGGAACGCCCCCGGGATCGACGCCGACGCCAGCATGATCTTCCTGAACAGATCGAGCGAGCCCGGCGCCCCGCTCGCCGCCAGGTCCCCCATCCGCCACACCACCGGACGCATCGTGTCGATGTTCGTCGTGCAGATGTTCAGCGTGCGCCCCTTCGCGAACTCCCCGGCGACCGCGTCCAGCATCCGCTGGTCGACGTGGTGCGCGATCACGGACGCCAGCGGCGACGAATCCGCCATCGCGTCAGACGTGATCGCGCTCAGCAGCGACCGCCTCTTCAGGACGTCCTTCGTGGCGTATTTCGTGTAGATCGTCTCCAGCTCGCCGTCCCACTCCGGTCCCAAAAACGCGAGCGGAGCCGACAGCGCCCCCGTGCTGATCCCCACCACGCCCTGGAACCACGGACGCGTCCCGTGCGCCGTCCACCCATTCAAAAGACCGGCGCCGAACGCACCGTTCGCGCCGCCGCCGGAAATGCCGAGCCAGCAGATCCGCTCCTCGTCGCGGCCCGCCGACCGCAGCCGATCGACCAGCAGCTCCGCCCGCGCCCGGGCGTTCTCGATCGTCTCGTCCGCCCAGTACCGAGCCTCCGGGTGCCCGGGGACCACCGCGCGATCCACCAGGTGCTCCGGCACCGGGTTCCGCTTGGCCGCGAAAAGGGTTTTCCAGCTCTCCAATGCGCACCTCCCGGCCCGATCGAGCGCCCGGCCGGCACGCATGCTACCACCGCCGCCCACCGGGCTCGCCGCCACTCGCGACCGTCGATACCGCCCCAGAGGCGACGATCCGCACCGCCACAGAGTTCGACACCGATGACTGGCTTCCCCGGCACGGCCGGGCCGATAGTGCAACAATCCGACCGACTGTCTCATGCGCACACCACCCGCACTCCCCCGAGCACACACCAGATGAGCAACACCGCGCTCCAGATCCTCATCCCCGCCATCCTCGCGCTTGGCCTCATGGCCGCCGTCGAACTCGGCTACCGCCTCGGGCGGCGACGCTCCCGCGGACGCGACGGCGGTAAACCCATGGAGACCGGCGCCATCCAGGGCGCGATGCTCGGACTCCTGGGCCTCCTCCTCGGATTCAGCTTCGCCGGGGCCGCGGGCCGCTTCATGGAACGCCAGGACCTCATCACCGCCGAGGCGAACGCGATCACGACCGCGTTCCTCCGCGCCGACCTGCTGGACGACGCCCACACGTCCGCGCTGCGCGACGCGCTGAACGCCTACGTCGAGCACCGCGTCGAGGCCTCCAGCAGGCTCCAGGACGGCATCGCCCGGGAAGACCTGGACCGCATCGCGGCGTCCCACCGCATGATCTGGAGCGCCGCGCTCGCCGGCGTGCAGTCGACGCCATCGGCCACCGTCTCGGTGCTCGTGCCCGTCAACAGCGTCTTCGACCTCCACGCCTCCCGCGTCGCGTCCGCGCACAAACACCTCCCCGCGCTCGTGGTCGGCCTCCTCCTCGCCTGCTCCATCCTCACCCTCGGCGTCATCGGCTACGCCTGCGCGCTCGCCAAGGCCCGCAACACCAGCATGAACACGATGATCGCCCTCCTCATCGCCGCCGCACTCTGGACCACCATCGACCTCGACCGCCCCCGCATCGGCCTCATCCGACTCTCCGACCACGCCCTCCAGAACCTGGACCTGAACGCGAAGCTGCCGTGAGTGCGCGAGCACGTTCCGCGTCACCTAATCCCGCGCGACGACACCGGGCAGCTGGGTGACCAGCAGCCAATCGCCGACCCCACGTCCCCCACACTTATCACCCCGTCGCCACCCGCGAATACCCTGTTCGGGGCCGAGCGGGCATCCGGCATCGCGGGCCGGCTAGATTTCAGGACGCATTTTCCACATCGGCCAATGGGCCTCGCCGCCTCATCCGATAAGCGTGCAGGGCAGCACCGCTCCTCTCTGAGCACCCGGAGGCCGCGTCCGTGCATCTCTCCAAGACCACGAAAAAGCTGCTTCTGATCAACGCACTGAGTCTCGTCTGCACGCTCAGCGTGGTCGTTGCCGTGCTCATCACGGCACGAGGCGTGCACGGGCACGCCGAGGCCATGCGCCTCGTCACCGAGGTCAAGGACGAGGCGCTCCTCGAATACACCACCGCGGTCGGCTACGGCGGCGCGATCCACCACATGAAGAACTACGTTCTCCGACGCGAGCCCGCGTACATCGACGCATTCCACCTCTCCGTCGAGCGCGGACGCCACGCCGTCGCGCGCTACCGATCGCTCGGCGAGCTCACCGAGGCGGAGCGCGACGCGCTCGACCTCCTCGAAGAGATGCTCGGGCAGTACACGACCGCCATCACGGAGGCGCAGGGCCTGTACGGTTTCGTCCAGGAAGTCGACGAGCAGATCATGGTCGACGATTCCGCCTACATCGCCGCGATCCAGACGCTCAAGGGCACGATCCGTTCGGAGGTCGCCAGCGCGAACGCTTCGCTCGAATCGCAGCTGCTCGCGCTGCGCACGGTCGCCGTCGCCTTCAGCGCCCTCTCCCTCGTCATCGTGGGCGGTTTCGGCGTCTACTTCACACTCCGTGTCGGGCGGCGCATCACGGATCAGAACGACGAGATCCACCGCGAGATCGAGCAGCGCGAGCAGGCCTGCCGTGTCCAGGACGAGTTCCTCGCCAACATGAGCCACGAGATCCGCACCCCCATGACCTCCATCCTCGGCTTCGCCAGCATCCTCGAGAGCCCCGAGGAAACCCCCGCCGCGAAGGAGATGCGCAAGGACGCCACGAGCACGATCCAGCGCAACGCCAAGCACCTGCTCACGATCATCAACGACATCCTCGATATCGCCAAGCTCCGCGCCGGGCGCATCGAACTCGAGACGCAACGCGTCGACCCCGTCGCCATGGTCGAGGGCGTCGTCTCGCTCATGCGGCCCAACGCCATCGACCGCGGCCTCACGATGACCGTCCGCTACGACACCGCGATCCCGAAGTGGATCCACGCCGACCCCGTCCGCGTCCGCCAGATCCTGCTCAACCTCATCGGCAACGCCATCAAGTTCACGGAGAACGGCGGCGTCACGCTTGCCGTCTCGGTCGAGGGCGAGCATCCCACGGCCGTGCGGTTCGCCGTCATCGACACCGGCATCGGCATCGCGCCGGAAGACCAGGACCACCTCTTCGAAGCCTTCCGCCAGGTCGATTCCAGCCGCACCCGGCGCCACGGCGGCACCGGCCTCGGCCTCACCATCTGCCAGCGCCTCGCCGGCCTCATGGGCGGACGAGTCGCGCTCCGAAACAGCTCGGGCGAGGGCAGCACCTTCATCTTCGAATTCGAAACCGAATCCTCCGGGGCCCTCGGGTCCTGGGCGGGCCCAGCGCCCGACGAAACCGCCGAGCCCAGCGCTTCGGAGCTGGACCTGAAAGGCCTCCGCGCCCTGCTCGTCGAGGACGGCGACGACAACAGGCGCATCATGTCCATGATGCTCAGCGCCGCCGGCGCGACCGTCACCGTCGTCGAGAACGGGCGCGAGGCCATCCTCGCCTGCTCGGCGCGGAACGAAGAGGACGCGCCGCTCGCCGAACCGTTCCCCTTCGACCTCATCGTCACCGATATGCAGATGCCCGTCATGGACGGCTACACCGCCACATCAAAGCTCCGCAGCCTCGGCTGCGACGTCCCCATCGTCGCCGTCACCGCCCACGCCATGACCGGGGACGACGAGCGATGCCTCAGCTGCGGCTGCGACGAGTACGTCACCAAGCCGATCGACCCCGCCGCGCTCATCAAGGCCTGCCGCGACTCGGTCCGGAAAAGGCATGCCGCGAGCCGCACGGCGCCGCAGCACGCCCGCGCGGCCTGAGCCGCGGGGTTCCACCCGGATCACCCGGTGAATCCCGGTTCATGCGCGGACCATAAAATGCGCGCATGCCCTCCCCCCTCCACCGCGACATCGCCTGGCTCTACGCCCTCCTCGACGAGGTCGCCCCGCCCACCGACGCCGAGCGCACCGCCCGCGCCGCCGGCGAGGCGCTCCTCGACGCGTCCGACACCGACCGCCGCCTCGAAGGCGTCCCCCTCGACGACCTCCGCGCCGTCCTCAAACGCCTGACCATACGCTTCCACCTGCGCAACAAGGCCGAGCAGCACGAGATCGCCCGCATTAACAGCGCCCGCGAGCGCGAAGCCACGCAGGACAACCCCCGCGCCGAGTCCCTCGAGGACGCGGTCCTCCGCCTCTCTCGCGCCGGCGTCTCGAAGGACACGCTCCTCCGCCGGCTCTCGGATCTCGACATCCAGCCCACCCTCACCGCCCACCCCACCGAGGTCCGCCGACGCGCCATCCTCGCCAAGCAGGCCGCCATCGGCGAGTGCCTCCGCGAGCTCGACGCGGGCACATCACGCCTCGAACGCGAACGCCTCGAGGACCGCGTCCGCCAGACCCTCGCCCTCCAGCTCGCCACCGACGAGGTCCGCGCCGTCCGCCTCGACGTCATCGACGAAGTCCGCAACGGACTCTTCCACCTCGCCGGCGTCATCTGGGACGCCGTCCCCGACCTCCAGCGCGACCTCCGCGACGCCGTCGAGACCGTCTACGGCGAGCGGGCCGACGTCGCCCCCGTCGTCCGCTACCGCTCCTGGATCGGCGGCGACCGCGACGGCAACCCCAACGTCACCGCCGAGTTCACCGAGCGCACCTTCGCCATGCTCCGCGACGCCGCCGCCGAACGCTGGGACGAAGCCCTCGAAGATCTCCACCACGAGCTGAGCGTCTCCGCGCGCCGCACGCCGACACTCCCCGAACTCACCGAAAACCTGGAGCGCGAGCGCGAGGCCAACCCCCTCCCCGGCGACCTCGCCCGCCACCACGAGCACGAGCCCATCCGCGAGAAGCTCCACTTCATCCGCCACCGCCTCGCCGGGAACGGGAGCGCCCCGCTCACCACCGCGAAGCTCATCGAAGACCTCGAGCTCATCCGACGAGCCCTCGCGCACGCCGGCCTCGAGAGCGTCGCCGAACGCGGCGCCGTCCGCGACATGCTCGTCAGCGCGCGCGCCTTCGGCCTCCACCTCGCCGCGCTGGACATCCGCCAGCACTCCCGCGTCCACGAAGCGGCGGTGGGGGAGATGCTCGCCGCCGCCGGCGTCGAGTCGGACTACGCCGCCCTCGACGAGCCCGCCAAACTCGCCCTCCTCGAACGCGAGCTCGAGTCCGACCGACCCCTCCTCAGCCGCGCGGCCGAGGTCTCGGACGACACCCGCGAGACCCTCGCCGTCTTCGAACTCCTCGCCCGCGTCGCGCCGGACGCGCCCGAGTCTCTCGGCAGCTACGTCATCTCCATGACCCACCAGGTGAGCGACCTCCTCGAGGTCGTCGTCCTCATGCGCGAGGCCGGCCTCTGGCGACGCGACAGCGCCGGAAACGTGCGCAGCGCCATGGACATCACGCCCCTCTTCGAGACCGTCAAAGACCTCGAAGTCTCCGAGTCCCTCCTCCGCGGCATGTTCGCGAGCCCCGCCTACGGCGCCCAGCTCGAAGCCCGCGGGCGATTCCAGGAGATCATGCTCGGCTACTCCGACTCCAACAAGGACGGCGGCTACGGCGCCGCCAACTGGCGGCTCTTCCGCGCCCAGCGCGATATCGCCCGCGTCTGCCGCGAGGCGGGCGTCGGCCTCCGCTTCTTCCACGGCCGGGGCGGCTCCGTCGCGCGGGGCGGCGGACGCGCCCAGCGCGCCATCCTTTCTTCGCCGCCGGAAAGCCACACCGGCAAGATCCGCTTCACCGAGCAGGGCGAGGTCATCACCTTCCGCTATTCGATGCGCGAGATCGCCAGGCGCCACCTCGAGCAGATCGTCGGCGCCGTCCTCACCGCCGCCGCGAAAGCCCCCGAGCCCGCGAGCGACCGCGACGAGGCCCTCGCCGAGATCATGGAAACCATGAGCGCCCGCTCCATGCGCGCCTACCGCGAGCTCATCGACGACCCCGCCCTCTGGGCCTGGTTCGTCGACCACTCGCCCGTCCGCCACATCGGCCGCCTCCCCATCGCCTCGCGCCCCGTCTCCCGAGCCTCCGGCGGCGAGCTCACCTTCGACGCCCTCCGCGCTATCCCCTGGGTCTTCTCCTGGACGCAGATGCGCTTCAGCATCCCCGGCTGGTACGGCATCGGCGCCGGCCTCGGCTCGCAGCTCGACGAGAATCCCGCACTCATCGAGACCTGCCGCGACGCCTACGACGCCGGCGGCGTCTTCCGCGTCGTCATCGACAACGCCCAGCAGGAGATGGCCCGCGCCCGCCTCCCCGTCGCGCGCCGCTACCTGGGCGAGGCGCAACGCGACATCGCGGTGCGCATCACGCAGGAGTTCGACCGCGCCCGCGCCGTCGTCCTCGACATCACCCGCCAGTCCGAACTGCTCGACAACAACCCCGTCATCCAGCAGTCCATCAGCGAGCGCAACCCGGACACGGACGCCATCAACGCCATCCAGATCGAGCTCCTCCGACGCTACCGCGACGAGCCGAGCGAAGAGCTCCACCAGGCGATCCTGCTCAGCGTCAACGGCCTCGCCGCCGCGATGCAGAGCACCGGCTGACCGCGACGATCACCCCATCGGCCCGCTCGGGGTCCCCTCTTCGAGCACCAGACGCTCCATGATCATCATCTTCCCGCTCACCGCGAGCAGGCGCTCGTTGTGGTGCATGAGCGACGCCGAGCGCAGGTCGCGGAACACCCGCTCCAGCGGCAGGCGGTCGGTGTTCATGAACCCGTCACGCAGCCCGACCAGCTTGATCAGGCCGTCCGCCACCTCGAACGCCGTGTCCGACGCCACGACCTTCGCCGTGTTGATGTCGATCCAGTACGACGAATCCTGAGGCCAGTCCGTCGCGCGCGCCAGCTCGATCCGCTCCGCCAGTTCGAGGATGAACCGCTCCGCCACGTCGAGCGAGCCGCGAAGGCGCGCGAGCGTCGCGAGCGCCGCGGGGGCGGTCTCGCCGCGCTCGCGCAGCCGGGCCGTCACCCCGTCGAGCACACCCCGTGCCGCGCCCGTCCACACCGACGCGAAGCCGATCACGCCGAGCGGCAGCAGCGTCCGGTCCCCGATCTCCTTGAACGACACCGGGAGCACGCGGTCCGAAGGCAGCACCGCGTCGAAGTCGCACGGCAGAGACTGCGTCCCCCGCATCCCCATCGCGCCCCACACCCCGCTCACCGTGTGCGCCCCGTCGTCCGCGCGAACCCACACGAGCCGCGTCTCCGTCTCCGGGGCGTCCTCGCTCTCGCGCATGAGCACCAGGAACGCGTCCGCGTGCGCGCAGTAGCTCACGATCGGCGCCTCGCGCTTCAGGCGGATCGAATCCCCCTCACGGAGGATCGGCGCCTTCGCACGAGAGAGATCACCGCCCTTGCCACGCTCGCTCGTCACCGACGCGATCAGCACCTCGCCACGGGCGATCGCCCGGACGTCCTCCGCCAGCGATTCCGGCGCGTACTCCGCCATCACCGCCGCCTGCTGCACGTGCATCACGTAGTTCAGCGCCGAAGAGAGGCACCCGCGTCCGAGCGCGTGCGCCACGCGGCAGTACACCGGCACGTCGCCACCGATCCCGCCGGACGACTCGGGGACGAACAGGCCCATCAGGCCCGAGGCCCGCAGCGCCTCGAACGACTCGTGCGGGAACCTGTTCTCGCGGTCCACGTCGCCCGCGTGCGCGCCGAGGATTTCGCGCCCCAGCACCCGCGCGCGGTCCGTGATCGCGCACGCGCGACGCTCGTTCGAACGGATCATGATGCGTTCCCTCTTTCTCGTCCTCAGCGGTGAACGCGACGAGTCGCGCTCGCTTCGATCCTCTGCTGTGAAGAGTACCCCAGATGAAAGGATCTTCACACGAAGAATCGGCGTTTTTCAGCCGATTTCCGCTTCGGCCATCCGTTTGAGCGCCTTGTAATCGGTCTTCCCGGTCCGCGTTTTCGGCAGCGGACCCTCCAGCACCAGGAACCGGCGCGGAATCATGTACCGCGACATTCGCTCCCGAGCGTATTTCGTGAGCGCCACCGTGATATCGGTCTCAGGATCCAAGGGCCCGCTCGGCGCCACCGCCGCCCAGATCTCGTGCCCCAGCATCTCGTGCGGCATGCCGAACACGCCCACCTCTTTCACAAAGCCTGAACGATGGAGCACCGACTCGATCTCGCCGGGCGAGACGCGGACACCCATCGATTTGATCTGGTGATCCATCCGGCCCACGTGGTAGTAGTGCCCGTCCGCGTCGCGCCGCGCGAGATCCCCCGTGAACACCGCCAGCGGCGGGTCCGGGTGGCCCACTGGCGCCAGCGGGTCCGGCCGCAGCGCCCGCGCCGTCGACGCCGCGTCATTCCAGTACCCCTCGAAGATGTACGCCCCCCGGTGCACGAGCTGGCCCACCTCGTCCGCACCGTCGATCACCGTGCCGTCCTCACGCACCAGCGCGAGCTCCACGCCCGGGATCGCGCCCCCCATCGACGTCGGCTTCGCACGCACGTGCTCCGGCCCCAGGCAGCTCGTGCGGTACGTCTCCGTCATCCCGAAGTTCAGGTAGAACGACGCGCCCGGCATCACCTCCATCGCCCGCTCCAGCACCGGCACCGGGATCGCGCCGCCCGTGTTCGTCACCATGCGGATCGACGAGAGATCCGTCTGCGCGAACGGCGAGAGCCCCTGCAGCAGGTACGTGATGATCGATGGGATCACCGGAAGCACCGTCGGACGGTGCGACTCGATCGCCGCGCAGATCATGAACGGATCCAGCCGCTCCGGGATGATCTGCGTCACACCCAGCATCGCCGTCGTCAGCAGCTGGCCGTACCCGTAATCGAACGACCACGGCACCGTGCACACGATGCGGTCCTCCGGCGTGTACCCGAACACACCGCCCACCGCGCGGCACGCGCTCACCAGGTTCCGGTGCGGCTGCGTCACGCCCTTGGGCATCCCCGTCGAGCCCGACGTGAACACGATCGACGCCGGCGCCGACGCGTCCGCGGGGCGCGGTTCGACCGTCACCTCCCGCGTCACGTCCGACGGACGCCGCACCGGCACGGCCGTCTCCGCCGGCAACGCGAGCTCGTCGTCGATGAAGATGAGCGCCGGCTCGACCGTCTCGACCGCGTGCGTGAAGTGCGAGACCGGCTCGTTGGCGTCCATGATCACCGCCACCGCGCCCGCCGCCCAGATCCCCAGCAGCGCCGCCGCCGATTCGACCGACCCGTTCATCCAGAGCAACACCCGGTCCCCCGCCCCCACGCCCGACGCGTCCGCCGCCGACGCGTAGCGCATCGCGCGCTCGCGCCACTCGGAAAACGTGCACGACGATTCGCCGTGCAGGATCGCCTCCTTCCCCGGGAACTGCGCGACCGTCTCCTCGAAGACCGACCACACGGAGTCCGCGCTCACGCCCCGCCTCCCCGCGACGCCTTCTCCTTCGCCGCCTGCATCCGGCGCATCATCTGCTGGATCCCGTACCGGTTGCACGCGTCCGTGAGTGAGCCCGCGTCCGTCTCCGCGACCGCGTCGTACCCGAGCCGCCCGAGCATCGGGTTGATCACCCGCGCGACGTTCGTCCGCGTCACGTCGTCCAGAGACGCCGCCCGGTCCACGCGGTCACGCTCGATGCCCGTCGCCACCGGCGCCTTCCAGTCCCCGAGCCCCACCCCGGGGTCGGAGCCGAACGCCTTGGCGATCAGCTCTTCCGCGTCCGCGTCGAGACCCAGGAAATCGAAGATCTTCGAGAGCACCGGCGCGGGGTCATCGACCAGGTCCTCGTACCTGAACGAGACGCACAGCTCCGGTTTCCGCTCGATCAGGCCCAGGATGTTCTCGTTCGCTTCCACCCACGCGTGCGCGTACCCGACCAGCGGGAACGCATGCCCGCGCACGTGCTCGCGGAGCTCCGCCAGGTGCGCCCGCATCTTCGAAGAGAGCTCCTCCATCGAGCACGCCACGTCCAGCCCGTGACGCTGGATGCACACGTACCGCACCCGATCGCCGCACAGCGGCTCGATCTGGTCGATGTGGTACGGGTTCACCCCCGTCTTCTCCACCCAGACCGGCTTGCCGGCCTTCTCCGCGATCTCGCGCAGGAACCCGAACGCGAACTCGCGCACCCGCTCGTACACGTCCGCCTCGTCGTACCCCGAGAAGATCAAGCCGGGCACCGCGCCCGCCGCGAGCCCGTCCGCGAAGCGGTCGCTCCGCAGGAAGCGCGCCGCGCCCGTGAGCAGGTACGTCTCCGGCGGGCTGTGCAGCTCCGGGTGCGCCGACAGCAGCCGGCGGAGCAGCGTCGTCCCGCTCCGCGGAGCCCCGAGCACAACCACGCCCTCGTACGGTCGTTCAGCCACGGATCGCTCCGATCTGTTCGGCGTTCAGCCTCGCCTCGTTCGCGCGCATCGGACGCTCCGTCGCGTCCACGATCTCCGCGCCCTCCCCCTCGCCGATCACCAGCGCCTCCCGCGGCTCGGGGTGCGAGATGAACCGCGTCGGGCTCGCGCTCACGCCGTACGCGCCGGAACTCCCGATCGCGATCACGTCGCCGAACCCCGTCTCCGGGAGCTTCACCCCCTGGCCCAGCACGTCGAACGTCGTGCACAGCGGGCCCGCGATCAGGTACTCGCCCGTCGACGCGTCGGCCCCCGCGCTGATGTTCCAGAACGACCAGTTCCGACGGATGATCGTCCCCATCATGCCCGCGGCCGCGAGGTTCGCGTTGAACCCCGCGTCGCACAGGCGGATCTCCGTCCCCTTGCTCAGCTTCTCGCCGATGACCCGCGTGAGCATGTACCCGCAGGGCCCCACGAGGAACCGCCCCATCTCGAGTGTCAGCGCCGCTTCGGCGAGCCGCTCGTCCGTGCGCATCTCGTCGATCATCGGGTTGATCAGCGAGCCCAGCTTCTCCATGTCCAGCGCGTCGTCGCCGTCGTGGTAAGGGATCCCGAAACCCGAGCCGAACACCAGCTTGCTGGGCGTGATGCCGTGCCCGTGCGAGAACTTGCGGAACAGATCGATGAAGATCGAGAAATTCTCCGCGATCGCCTCCTCGTTCAGCGAGTTCGTCCCGGAGTAGATGTGGAAGCCCTCGAGCCTCAGGTTCGTCCACTCGCCGAAACGCCCGAGCACCTCGTCCACCTGGTCCTCGTCGAACCCGAACTGGCTCGCGCGACCGGCGAACTGCACCCCGAAGCTCTTCGGCCCACGGTCCGGCGTCAGGCGCAGCAGGCACGTCATCGTCCGGCCCGCCTCCCCCGCGAACTCGTTCAGCGTCTCCAGCTCGCGCACCGACTCGCACACCATCTCCCCGATCCCGAGCTCCACCGCGCGACGGAGCTCGAAGCGCTGCTTCGCCGGGCCCGAGAACGTCATCCGCTCCGGCGGGCACCCCGCGTGCAGCCCGCGCTCCGCCTCGCCGATCGCCGAGACGTCCAGCGTCGAGACGAGGTCGATGAACCGCTCCATCAGCGGAACGCTCGGGTTCGCCTTCACCGCGTACGACACGCCGAAACGGCCGCCGAACGTCCGCTCGAGCAGCGCGAAACGCTCGCGCACGCGGTCCGCGAAGTACG